ATGGAAACCTTTCATGAAAGTAGATTTGATTGAAAATAGATTTGATAATGCATTTCGCTATTCAAGGCTTCATCAAAACGAATGAATGAAAGACATTTGCATTTGTGTGTATGTTTAATTCTTTAGAAATATATATATATATATATATATATATATATATATATGTGTGTGTGTGTGTGTGTGTGTTTCTTTCGTCGCGTTATATTTCCTGAGAGTTCGTTTAATAATCTATTCCTTACGTAACTACATCCGTCGTTTATTCTCAGATTCAATCAAAACGCACGCACAAAATTACTATTCACCTCTCACTTTCCTTCCCTATATATATATATATATATATATATATATATATATATATATATATATGTGTGTGTGTGTGTGTGTGTGTGTGTGTGTTTTCCGCACGCGCGCATGTGTGTGTGTGTGTGTATACCAGACAAAAAACGCTAACAGCGAAGACTGCTTTTTAATAATTCATTATTTTTAATAATTTATAGATTATGACTATTTTAGTCAATATGCTGAATATATTCGCACACACACACACACGCGCTCACATACGCATGTATATATATATATATATATATATAGGACAAAAGAAAATGAGACCGTATAAAAAAACACATAATCGTTCGAAAAGCTTTAAAAGATGTGAGCCAAAAAGGCCAGACCAAAAAAGACAAAAAACGACAAAAAAAAAAAAAAAAAAAAAAAAAAGAAGGAAAACTTGAAGGGAAAACCATCATTCAAAAATACTTACCTTACTGACACTGTAGTTAACCACGCAACCAAAAAGGGAATAGCAAATATGAATGTTAACACAGGCCTACTAATGGAAAGAGTCTACTACTCCGTACTGTCAACTGTCGAAGTGTTAGTAGTTGCACTGGCTACTCTTGTGGCAGTTGAAGCAGTAGCAGCAGCCCGGGTTGCCGGTATGCCCGTCCGTTGCTGGCTACATAGCAGTAGGGGCGTTACCTCGAAAGCACACTTCTTCACACAAGCATAATAGCAGCGATAGTCGGGGTATTCACGAGAGAAGAAAAGAACATACCCGCAAATACTGGAACAAGAAGTGCATATACACCGAACTTATCAGTCAATTGAAATATAGATTTCGCTTTTTTTGTTTTTTTTTGTTTTTGTTCACATATATGTGAGTATCGGTGCAGAATTCTTCCTCGCACTCACACTCTTTCTCATTGTGTCTCGCCTTATCTATCTATCTATCTATCTATCTATCTATCTATCCCATTTTTTGGTATTTTCTCACTCTTTTCTTATATATGCATCTATCTCACTCTTTTCCTCTCTCTCTCTCTCTCTCTCTCTCTCTCTCTCTCTATATATATATATATATATATATATATATATATGTATTGTTCTGTTCACATCCTTCTTAATCTATATATCTATCTATCTATCTCATTCTTGTCGTATATATGTATCTGTCTCTCTTTTCAAATCTCTCTCTTTCTTTCTATCTATCTATCTATCTATATATATATATATATATATATATATGTATATATATATCTATATATCGTTCAGTTTACATCTATCTTAATGTGTTCACATCTATCTATCTATCTATCTATCTATCTGAATTATTTCATATCTATTTATGAAAAATATAGAATTTGGAAATTTTCTATTTTTGACACGTTTCGTCGAGGAACTGGTATCATATGGAAAAGAATTTTATTTCACAGACAAAATCTTCATTCGACATTACGCTAAACAAAAGGGAATTTCACGCTAATGTGACTCTTGTTAATTCATTTTGTAATTCATTCAATCTATCTATCTATCTATCTATCTATCTATGCATATCCATTATCTATCTATCTATCTATCTATCTATCTATCTATCTATCTATCTATGCATATCCATTATCTATCTATCTATCTATCTATCTATCTATCTATCTATCTTAAACCTGTTAGTATTTATAGATGTTCGTACGTATCTATCTATCTATCTATCTATCTATCTATCTATGCATATCCATTATCTATCTATCTATCTATCTATCTATCGAAACCTGTTAATATTTACATATGGTAATATTAAAAAAAAACTATTTTGACATATTTTGTCGATGAACTGTTGTCATCACAAAAATAATAAAATTTTTCGACATTAACGGGATAAAATGTGATACATTATATTCTTGAAATAAAAATATTTTTCTTGCCTTTTTTATGATTCCGTGTCAGCAGCGAAACATGCCAAAATAGATCTTGCCTAATTGTCTCATATTTACCATTGCATCGGATTCTCATCCAAATTTGTTCATATCTATCTATCTATCTATCTATCTATCTATCTATCTATCTATCTATCTATCTAAATCTCTTCATTGTCTATGTATCTCAATCTTTTCATTATCTATCTATCTATCTATCTATCTATCTATCTATCTATCTATCTATCTATCTGTTTTCATTTGTGGTTGTGTGTGTCTATTTGCATAAAATTAGTAACAATGCCATTTAATACATTTATAAATGTATGCGTTCTTTGAAATAAAGAGTTGTTCTATTTAATGTTGTTATACCATAGGTTGGGAGCAGACCTCCTGCATATGGATAGAAAATGAATTCAATAAATATAAAAAAATAGAAAGGAGCGTAAGGCAAGGATGTGTCTTCTCGCCAGACTTATTCATCATACACAGCAAGGCAATCCCGAGGGAATGAAAGGTGCTACCAGAATTCATTATTGGCAGCCACACTGTTAACACTCTAAGGTATGCAGATGACACAGTGTTGATAGCAGGCAAGGAAAGGAAACTACAAGAACACCTACAGAAGTTAGGGAAGGAAAGCGAGAAGAAAGGACTAAGCATCAATTGTTACAAGACAGAATGCTTGGTTGTTAGCAAAACGGAAAATCCAAGATGCGAATTACAAACTGGGGAGGTCAAAATCAAGCAAGTACAATTTAAATATCTAGAAAGTTTTTCAACAGAAGACGAAAAATGCGACATCGAAATCACAAGACGAATTGCGATAAACATAGATGTTTTCCAAAATCTAAGGAAGGTATTAAGAAACAGGAATTTTTCGTCAGAAACTGTTATATACTGTAGCTATAGACACTAATGTAAATGGGGGTAATATGCTGTATAAGTAGTCCACCAGTAGCAGTGGTTTACCTAGTTCACGCCGCTGGCGAGTATTGTATATTGTTGATGTTATAAAGATTACAATTTCATTTCCAACCTCCATTTTCATTATTCCTTATTCAATAACCCTATCTAGGCTACAACAACCACCATTTATTTATTTATTTATTTTTTTTTACTAAAGTTCACTAAGACTCAAAAGTCATTCAAGGTAAAGGATTGTCGCGTGAGGTATGTGATATTAACTTTAAACGTTATTTTCTTCAATCCATCTTTTCCTACATTCGCAATCCTCATAAATACATTGGACACTATTGTAAGTGGGGGGGGTATATGCTGTCTAAGTAGTCCACCACTAGCAGTGGTTTACCTACTTCACGCCGCTGGCGAGTATTGTATTTTGTTGATGTTATAAAGATTGCCATTTCATTTCCAACCTCCGTTTTGGTTATTCCTCATTCAGTAACCCTTTCTAGGTTACAACAAAACAAAGAATTTTGGACTACTGAACTGTTATTCATTTTTCAGCTCTCCTGTATCCAGTTAATGACAATTCTTCTCTTTGTTCATGAAAAATTTGAGGCAAAAAGAAATGTAAATCTACAGAAAGGATGCTGAGAATACTTTAGACTGAACATCTGAGCAATGACGAAGAGAAATGGAAACAAAATGACGCTTAAATTTAACATTAAAAAAAACAGAAATTTTAACTTTCCTAATAATGTTCTGAAAACCAAATTAAAAAAAATAAGTATTGATTTGTTATATAATAGCGGGCCTCTTTCATAATTGAAAATGTCCTCTAAGTGTCACAGATTCTCTAGAAGAGAAAATGAAATTAATACAAATATGGTTCTTCAGAAGGATACTGAGGATATGTGATGAAGAAATTTGTTGTTTCCATTTGAAACAAAAAAGAATAGTTATATTTAAAATCATTTATAGTAAAGCCATTCAGTAGAACACATAACATCATAATCATTTTAATATTTTTGTAATGATATAGCAGCCATTTCTTTTATAGAATAAATAGAAGAAACATAGTATTTGCAATGTAAAAGAGAGTTTCCTGTCAAATTTTTATGTTGTGGCTTTGAACACCTTCGAACTGATAATTTATATTACATTAAATTTTTTTTTTTAGAATTGACAAAACATATCATTTGTCTTTCGGTTTGTTTTTCAACATGGAATTATCCCTTTACAACAAGAATAATTTATATATATATATATATATATATATATATATATATATATATATATATATATTTTATAATTGTTCAGTTTAGGATTTCTTTGAAAATAAAAATGTTTGACACAATATATATATTCAATTCTGAACAAATGAGTAATGTCTAAATATCTAAATAGATTCTTTGTCATTCACAAATATATATGTTTCTTCATGTTTATATTTAATATATATATTATATATATATATATATATATATATATATATATAAATATATATATATGGTTATAATATGCCTATATTATTTTAATTGAAACAGGTTTTTCTATGTAGATATTTGCCTAAATATACTTGTTATATACGAATAAATCAAATATATATGAATATATATGGAACACATGTATACACACATTCAATATTTTATATATATATATATATATATATTATATCAATATATAAATAAAAAATTTCTTGTTGTTTTTTGTTTAAATACTTCACTGTTTATCATGGATACTCATAAATTCCAATATTTTTTCCAACTATATCTTTTTGACCTTAAATATTTTCAGGTCGTTAATCTTTATTGGATAATTTTAAAAAAAAATTAATTAAAAAAAAATCTTTTTAGCCCTGAATATTTATCATATTTTCAAAAATGAACATTTTTTAAAAAAAAAAAACAAATTTTCATAACAATGATGTCGGATTTAAAATTTTCCATTCTTTAAATATAATTCATAATACATATATATATATATATATATATATATATATATATATATATATATATATATATATATATATATAAATATATATATATATATATATATATATATATATATATATATATATTTTTGTGTCTGTAAATATGTAAAAAATGTGTATTTGAGGGTAATCAAAATTTGTTCCCCATTTTAATTTAAGATATATCAAATGTATATATATAATTTATATATTTATATATATATATATATATATATATATATATATAAAAAAAAATAAACTCATTTACATTTATATATATATATATATATATATATATATATATATATATATATATATATATATATTGGAAAAAAATCGATAAAATTTAATATTACAAACATCTTAAACAAATAAAAAAAAAAAAAATAAAAAAAAAAGAAACAAGAAAAAAAAAAATTGGTTTCAATCCACAATCGTCAAATCCGTTCAGGTGATTTTTCTGGTTTGTTTATTTTCATTTAGATTATTTTGATTGTCTTCCAAGAAAATTATGTCGCATTTATGTTGATATCAGTGTCCATTTTATATATAAATAAAATATTAAGCAGATGAACATTTGATATATAGCATGTAAAAAATTTTACACACACAAACACAAATATATATGGGATAAATTTTTATACAGACCATACATACATACATACTATATATATATATATATATATATATATATATATATATATATATATATATCATGCATTTCTGAATAAATATGTAATGATGTAAATCAATAACTGAAATATTTCATTGTGTATTTCATTATTTGATGAGAAAAAAAAATTTTTTAATGTAAATATATTTATATATATATATATATATATATATATATATATATGTGTGTGTATAAATATATATAAATAAAAAAATAAACAAAAAAAATTAAAAAAACTAAGTAAAAATTTTTATATTTTGAAAAAACAGTTGCTTAATACAAAGTAGAGCATTATTATAATTATAACATGGTTGGTCATAAACTCCAAAATAGTAAATTATATATATATATAGGTATTCATGAGGGCAATTTCATTCAATTATATTTTTTACATATAATCAAAAACAATTTTTTCAAAAAAGATTTATTTTAAATGCATGAAACGAAGTTTTTTCGTCTTTTGTCTTAAATTAAATTCTTTGTCTATGAATGAATATATTGTTGCCATATAAATAATGGACAAGTATCAAATGACTTATAAATTTGGAATGATTCGCTATTTAGTTTCAACATAATTTTTTTTATAGCGAAATAATAATTTATAGTTGTTTTTATTTTTAAATTGTTAAAAAAAGATAGAACTTTCTGTGATTGAAAATAACATGATTATTTTCCATTTATAAAATTTCTGAGGAACGTAAATAAATGAAACAGAGACTTAAATTTATAATGTTTTTCCTACTTTTTCTTATTTATTCATTCTTTCGGGAATAAGCTATATTTTCAAATTTACCGTATAATCTATATTTAAAATTACCTCATAATCCATAATGTTCAAATTTAGTATATAATCCATAATTTTCAAATTTGACAACATAATCCATAATTTTCAAATTTATCATATAATCAATAATTTTCAAATTTACTTTATAAGCTATAATTTATAAATTTATCATATAATCCATAATTTTCAAATTTACCCGTAATTTTAACTCAGACGTAAGTTATTAACTGCGTATGTCAATAATAGAACTACATTTTTTTTACATAAATATTTTTCGGTAAAATCTATTTCTTTGAAACGAAAATCAATTTAAGAAAATTGTCTATATTTGCAAAATGTCCATTTTTTTATTTGTCTTATTCCTTCAGAATGTTTTTCCAAAAAAATTTCCACTAATTATTTTATGAAGAGATTGGTTTCCCGTTTCCTTCTACATGGTTTTTCTCCAATCTTAAATTTTTATTTTCATTTATATATATATATATATATATATATATATATATATATAAGCAAATATATGGATATAGATCCGACAAATGAAGAAAAATATATACGGAAAAAAAAAAATTGGAAAATCCTTAAATACAATTATGCTGTTTTAATGTTAATATGTCAACGTCGGACGTTTCGGTCTAATAAACCATCTTCAGGACATATTCATAAATTATAACATTATCAATACAACATGAAAAAAAAGACGATGTACATAAATAATGAAGATTTTGTTTATTAGACCGAAATTCCGACATTGACATATTAACATTAAAAATATATAAATTGTATATAAAATCAACCTTTTTTTTTCCGTATATATTTTTCTTCATATATATATATATATATATATATATATATATATATATATATATATATATTGATAGATTTGTAAATAGATTTCTATCCGATGAATGAAAGTAAAATTACCACTTTAATATATAAAAATTCAAATTTTAAATTTTTTTAAAATGATCGATTTTTA